TGCGGTAATATTACATATATTCCCAATTTTCACTTTTTACTAAATATCTGATTACTTGCTTATGTGGGGGAGGAACAAACCATGAAAGCCGATACTACAGATGCAATAGACATCCCCAAAGAAGACTCAAAAAGAGATGCAACCCTCACAAGATAATAAAGTTCATGCCCAGAGTTCGCCTAAGAAAGACGAGGGGCCTCAAATACATGGTGACAGAACGAGAACTGACTCTGGGTGGTGAGCACACAATGTGACATATAGATGCTGGATTACAGAACTGTACACCTGAAATCTATGTAACTTTGCCAACAATCGTCACCCCAGTAAACAGTAATTGAAAAAAAGAAAGAAAGAAAGAAAGATGAGGGGTCCAGTCTCTAAACAGCTGTTCCAAACACAGGTCATTCTGTGCTTCCCCCTTGGCTTAAGAATAAGGTTTAAAGTTCCCTAACCCACAGCGGATTCGGCTGCCCTCAAGGTAGATGCGTGAGCCTCCTGCAGCGGGCAGAGATAACAGACCACCTGTGGGAGCAGGGACAGACTCAAAGCTCCCTTGAGAGCGTCTCACAGCTGGATACCGAGCAAGGAGCACCGTGACAAGGGCGCCCTCTGGATGGGAGAGGCCAGACACAAAATATTCTCACTGGTCTTAACGGCTGAGCTCTCCGGACCTATAACAGGACGAGAGGAGCACAGAAGACAGAGAAAAACGAAACCCATGAGCACTCATGCTAATTAACCAAGAGCCACTAGCTCAAGAAACTAGTTCCTCAAGTATTTTCTCCTTCCAATCTGAATACAGAAGGGACAAAAGAATTCTCACCACTTTGGCTCCCACCGGATCCAGCTGACAGAGATCTTGGGGTGTGCCGTCATGGTACGAATCCTGACCTTCGGCCAGCCTGGGTCAGACGCCCCAGTGTGCTATCTGTTCAGATCTGTTGCCCACTTTTAATTGGGCTGTATGTTTTCTTATTATGGACTTTTAAGAGTTCTTTATATAGTTTGAATACAAGTTCTTTATCAGGTATGTGTTTTGCAAATATCTTTGTAAGGAACTTAAGAAATCAATACCTTGGTCAGCCTATAGCTTGATTTACCTCATACTTTGCTCTTCAGCTGTTTTCTCTTTGTTTCTCTCCCTCACTGCAGATTTAATTGCTCTGTTTTCCCCAGGCTACACACAGTCATCATTAATCCAGCTCATCAGCAGAACACCAACTTGTAACAAATTGAGCAAGCCCTCCTGACACTGGCGACCAGGCTGCAATTCTGGACTGAGATTCTGTCAGGTGACAAGACCGGGTTCCAGACAAACCCACCCCAGGAGATGTTCCCAGGACAAGCCAGCGGCATGACTAACTTTCTGCTTCCTTTGTTCTGCTGTTTCTTGCGTTCCTGTGAAACCTGACCGTCCCAGGAACAGGGAGGTGCCACCATCCTCCCGGAATGCCAGCATTCTGAATAAACCTGCTTTCTTTCCACCTTATCGCTCGATTTTTGACTTTTTTCAAGTGGCACGCAGCCAGTGGTAACATTTTCTCCCAGTCTGTGGCTTGTCTTTTCATTCTCGTAACACTGTCTTTCATAGTGAAGAGGTTTTTAATTTTAATAAATTCCAATTGAGCAGTTTTCTTCATAGACTATGTTTTTGGTGTTCATGTAGAACTCAGCTCTAAACCCAGAGTCACCTAGAATTTTCTACTATGCTCTCCTCTAGGAGGTTTATACAATAGCTCTGTGCTTTGCATTTAGATCTGTGATCCTCACTGAGTTAGCTTCTGTGAAAGGTTAGGTCGGCATGTGTGTACACTCTTGTGTGTATGGATGTGTCAGCAGCAAAGGGTTCACTCAGCAGGCTTGGGGTTTGCAGACGGGGCACATTCCAAAGAAGGGACTGGGGACTGGCTCCTGCATTGCTCCTGGGTCACCTCTGAAGCTTGGGAGGCCTCTGTCTTTGCACACATAGGGCACTGGGCTGTGCCTGGACGTATGCTGACGTGATGTATGGTGGGGGTCTTGTGTGCTGCCGTATCAGTCTGACCTCTGGAGAGGCTGGGGGCTGAACAGCTAAGGTCAACCATGTGAATTTTCCATGCCTATGTGACTGACACCGGGGTTCAAATGAGCATCCCTGGTGGGCAGTACTTTACATGTGGTCACGCGGTGGCTGCTGGGAGAATTAAGCACTCTCTGTACAATTCACGGCGGAGACAAATGGAAGTTTGCTCCTCTTCTCACTTCCAAATAAGTGCTTTTCCCTTCCATGCAGGAAATATGAGAATATTTTTTTCCAGTCTTCAACATGAGAACCAGGCGAGGCTTCCGGAGGTAAAACTCACAACATGTTGGTCCCCTTCACACTGCACTCTCAGAAGCTTTTAACTCTCAAGCTAGGCCTCCAGCAAGTCATTACAATCACTTTTTTTTTTTTTAAGATTTTTATTGGGGAATTGGGGGATGGGAACAGCGCTGAGGAATTGGGGGAAGGGGAACAGACAAGTTGCTGTCCTTTTGTTCTTCAGTCTAGTTGTGGAGGACGTTGCTTCACTGGCCCAAGTTGGCACCATCATTGCGCTCTTCCCGGGCGAGGCAGATCAGTCGCCGGCTTCTGGACGACCGCTCACGGTGGCTGCTGGCTGCTGGCTGCTGGCTGCTGGCTACATATGGTAGCCCATGGCAGCCCACTGCAGCAGAGGCTGCAGCCTATGCCGTCGCCGGCAACTCATGGCAGCCCATGGCAGCCCAGCTCCAGGTTGAGCTGTTGTTCAGCATCTTAGCTGTGGAGGGCAGTGTCACTGGCCCTCATATGTGGGATCCAAACCGGGGCCCTCTGGCATGCCAAGCCAGCTCTTAACCACCGTGCCACTTGGCTGGCCCTAATTTTATTTTTTTAATTGGGGAATTGGGGGAAGGGGAACAGACAGGTCGCTATCCTTTTGTTCTTCAGTCTAGTTGTGGAGAACATCGTTTCACTGGCCCAAGTTGGCACCATCGTTGCGCTCTTCCCGGACGAGGCAGATCAGTCGCTGGCTTCTGGACAGCCACTCACAGCAGCTGCTGGCTACACACGGTAGCTCGTGGCAACCCACCTGCCATCGCCGATGACTCGACCGGCCCATTGAGGAGATATTTACTTCTTTGTACTGAGCTGTAGAATTCCAGGCTCCAAAAGGCTACACTTAAGCCTGTCTTAGGTTTATGTTATTTCTAGAAATGCTGCAGCGAATACAATGACTATGTGTAGAAATAAATTAAGGGGGGAAGAGGAGAGGGAGAAAGAGAAGGAAGGAAGGAAGGCTCTGCATGGACTGTCAGGAGTCTGGAGAAGGCCGGCGGGGAGGAGGCCTGGGGGGCGCATGGGCTGTACTCACAGCCCGGGCCTCACCACCGGGCCTCCCTCGGGGATCCTGCACCGTGCCAGCTGCCTTAGGCTCAAACCTGCCGCTGGGGAGAGAAGCAGCTTCCACTGGGATGCAGCCACCGGGATCAGGAGACAAGCTGACATTTGGACGGGCAAAGCCACCACCTGCGGGGCCAGGTAGGACTCAAGGTGCCCTTTGTCTCCAGAGCAGGAGGGGAGTGGGGTGGACTCCCGGATGTGTTTCAGCGTGACTGAAGGCCACATCAGCCGCAGCCACAGCTCCACCCCTGCCCAGGACTCTGTCCCTTCCGAAGGCGTCCAGGCTTCATAGATTTTACTACTGAATTTGTTATTATTAAATTTATTCCTAGGTCTTGTATAGATTTTGACACTTGTGCAGAAAAGACACTTATTTGCCCTATTTCTATTTCCTACGGGTTGTTGCTAATATAGAGAAAAGCTATTAATTTTTGTGTATGTACCTTAAATCCAGCCATCTCACCAAACTCTGTTATTATCTGTGGTTTATTTTTCTAGAGTCTAGCAGGTGAGTCTGGAACCAGCCCCCGCCAGTGAGTCACTCCTCCTCCGCCAAAGCCCATCGAGTTTGGGGGCGCTCGTGGTCCCCCCACCCCACACAAGGGAAAACAGAGTCACGCTCGTCCCCCACGGGTTACAAATACTTCCTGCTTCCCTCTGCCTCCCTCCCATTTGGCAACACTAACAGCCCCGTTTACACCTTGTGATTGTTCCAGAAAACCAAGGATTGTTCAAGGCCTTGGGTCGGGCTTGCCCAATCATGCGACTTGGCACCCCAGCACCCCCTCCGCTCCTTCCGCCCCCTCCCATTTCAACAGCCCGGGCTGCAGTGAGACGGGCAGCCTGATAAAAAGGAGGGCAGGGCCTGGAGAGCCGGTCACACAGCTGGGGACTGTCACCAAGCCAACACCATGGCGTCGTGCGTGGCCTGGACAGGTGAGGGGACACTGTCAGGGGGGCTGGGCTGTGCCCCAGAAGCTGTGGGGTGGTGGCGGGGTTACGTTAGGTGGCTCCTTGGTGCTGTCTGCGAGGAAGCAGGAACGCTAGGAGACCGGGGGAGCATCCTCCCGCCTCACCCTCTGCCTCCTGGCCGGCAGTCCCTCGACGGCTGTCCCTGTGGGTTCACTGTGGGCTCTTTCAGCACAAGAGACTGTGTCACAAGGAGAAAAGTTTTTCTCAACAGGCTGAAAATGGCTTTTCCTTCTGTCCTGCAAGCGCAGACTCAGTGGGCGTCCCTGCCCTGGGTGCTTTGCCCCCTGTGCCCCTCGGCCCTCCTCTTGGCTTTCTCCGGGAGGTGCCCACTGCCAAGAGGCTCTTCCCCACTCCACGCTGGCAGTTCTGCGCGAGGGCACCGCGGGACCAAGGCCCTGAGTGTCCTTGCAAATGTTCACGCATCTTTTATTAGGTGACTGGGAAAGTCCCAGGCCACCAGAAAGGGGAAATAAATCTTTTCTAGAGTCCTGCTGAACGCTAGGTCTCCAAGGACTTGGCACCTAGCAGCCTCTGGGGGGTGAGGCGGGAGCAGCAGGAAGGCGAAATAGTGGCTGTCTCACCAGGAGACACGGTCTCCCATCCAGCCCGTGCACATCGGCTTTTTTTGCCCGGGACAGTTTTTCTTCTTGTTCCTAAAGAAAAACATTCTTTGAATACCTCACACGTTAGCAGTTTCTCCAGAATCTCCTTAAATCCACACTGCCCTCCACTGAAGCTCTAGAAGGGCACCCTGACTCATGACCCCCAGCCCTGGGAAAACCAGTGATGGGAGAAAGAGGGCTCAGACATGACTGGGAAGTCAAGTTCTGGGAACAACACATCCATACCCACACCGAACGTGCTGGGCACAGCCCTGAGACCCTCCCTGACCAGGGTGCGCGTGTCATTAGGGGGCTCGGCGTGCAGTCACCATTCTCGGGTGTGGGGTTCAGACTCCACTGCCCACACCCAGCCCCTCCTGGGCACTGATGCCACCCCTGCCGCTCGGCACCCATGTGACCTTTTCCTACACCTTTCCGCTTTTACCATCACTTTTACTCACTTCTCACCTTTCTGCACCTTTCCTCACAGAGCCCTAACATTAACCCTAACCCCGCCCCCCTCAACTGATTCTGACCCTGACCCAGACCTAGACCCTACTTCTAATTCAAACCCAAACTCTCACCCCTAACCCTCACCCTAATTCTAACCTCTAACCCTAACCTGTCACCCTAGCACTAACTCCTAACCTTAACCTCAAACCTGAACGCTACCTTAATCCTAAGCCCAAACCCTAACCCTATCTGTAACCCTAACCTTACCCATATAACCTTGACCCTCACCCTTAAATTGAACCTGACTCAGATACTAATACCCTGACTCTGACCCTAACCCTAATACCCTGACATGGTCTGTGACCCTGACCCTACCCCAACTCTGACCCTTAATCCTAACCCTAAACCCTGTTTTAAATGCCAAACCTAACTCTAACGTAACCCTGTCTCTTAGAGTTAGCTCACCCTTACTCTTACTTCTAAAAGCTAATTTATCCAAACACTCACAGAACCTCCTCACAGCCTGCTGAGCCCAACCCTAACCCCTCCCACTGTATTCCTGACCCAAGCACAACCATACCCACCAAGAGGCCTTACTGAGGCCCCTCTTGCTACCCATAACTCCAATATTCATCCCAGTTCTCAGCCTGGCTGCATCATGAACAGGCCCAAAGCAAGTTGTCCAAGTCCCCCTTTTCCTCTGAGCCCTCCTCAGCACGCACCCGCCACGTGCCCATGGAGGTATCCTGGGCCCCACGGTCCTCGAACCTTTGCATACATCACCAAGCAGCTTGGTGGGGTTTTGTTTTTGATTTTTTTGCTAAGTTTTATTTTAATCCAAGGACTTTGCTTCATACAAAATGTCATTGTAGAAACAATAGCAGAATCCAAAGTTTGGCTGATAAATGTGACTCAAGCAGCAAACTAGTCAATCACATAATTTTTTTTTGAAGCAAGTCCCAGTTGTGTTGTGTGGTTGGGACTTTTTTTTTTTTTTAACACTGTTCTTAAATATAAAGTTTTGCAACAAACTTCTGATTTATATCAAATATAATTAAAAATTAACAAATGAATACATTGTATCAAAAGTACGAAGATATACACTGTCATGCACATACTTGCATATATGTATATATGTATATATTTTACATGCACACGTAACTTGTTCAAACTACAGCCACTGCTTGACTGGTTCCAGTGTAGACAACTGGTTGATGCATTTCAAATTTGGCAACTCACTATGAGATTTCAAGGGAAACGTGATGGCTGAGAAGAGACTGCAGAGACAAAACCCCAAAGTCAGGAAAACAAGACACAGTGTGTCCTCCCCCACGCCCTGGAATTTTCACCAATTCCAATGTTTAGAAGATTCCAGACGGAGGAGTGAGGCCATGTAGCTCTGGAAAGTGGATTCTCCACTCAGCTGGGCGTCGGGGAGGTGGCTGTAGCTCCGCACAGAATGGATACATTCAAAACAACAGGGGCTGGGGGACCAGCACGACACATCAGGATCAAAACACACACCCTCTGCTTTGCGACCGGTCACAGCAATCACATGCACAGTCGGAAATTCCGGTTTAAGTGTATCATGTTGGAGTAAAATACTCTGTTGTCTTAAAGTTTCAGAGTGTTGTGCCTTCCAGTAAGGAACTCTATAAAATGGTTTGGTCACAATCATGCTGAAACCCTAGAACAGGTGGCGGTCTTGTGTTTTATTTCTAGTAAACGTGTGTCTCTGGTTGCATAGCCCTATGGGTTAACGGCATCCACTCACTGTGACACCTGCACACACAGACACGCACACACACACACCACACGCCAAGTTTCTTAAGGAGAATCATGGGGTAAAAGCCAAAAACACATGATCCAGCAAAGAGATCATCTGACATTTCAAACCATGGAGGACACACCAGAAGCTACTCGTGGAAACGCTCCTCTCTTCTTCCTGAAACAGCCTCCCGGCGGTTCACACACAGCAGCAGCCTATGGTCTCTCCCTTTTGAGAGCGGCCGTGGGGACAGCTTTTGCTCCCGCTGCCTGCTTTCCCACGTCTTGTGCCTGAGTCAGAGCTGGCTTCCCACGCCCCCTCCTCAGCCACTGTCATCGGTCACTTCGCCAGGTGTCCGCTTCCTTTCAGTCACGTCCTGCGAGGACCCACACCCAGCGCCCTCCCTGTCACCTGACGCCACGGCAGCGTCAGGACAGCAGAGGTTCTGCTCGGCGGGACCCCGTCCCTGAGGATCACGTGGGCCAGATGGGCACGCCCCACAGCAGCACGCGGCCGGAAGCCCTGCCACTCGTGGGAGGGGACCGGGAGGAGCTCGCTTCTTGCGACCACACCGTCCCGGGACGAGGTCTGCGTGTCCTCCGGACGCCAGCTTTCTCCTCGGCTGCTACTTGGAGCAGTTTCCACGGGCCTCTGGGTCCAGCAGCCTCGGTCACCGGGGGCCCCGGGAGTCGGCGGGACGGGGCGCAGAGGTCAGGCACTTGGTCGGAGCGGCGGGAGGGCGACCCCTCCCGCACACGAAACGCCCTGCGAAGTTGACGTTTTCCTGCGGGTTTGGGTTTTTAGAGTTACGTTACCATTTTCTTCCCCGTTTATCTGGTTCTCTAGTGTTTCTAGGTCAAGTGTGTCGAACTGACAAGAGTGGAGGGTGTTGCGATTAAAAACCGAAACCAGCAGCGCGGCCCTTGCCCGGGCTCGGTCCCTTCCGGTGCCAGGCGCGCGGAGCGTCTGGGCGTCGAGCGCCTCCGCCGGCGCGGGTCCCACGCGGGACGTGTGTCCCGGGGGCGCCGCCGCTCACCGCCCGTGGGTCCCGAGGTCCGGCCGGCCCGCCTCTCCGCGCTGCGCGTTTGCATAAAGGCCGCCGCCCACGGCCGAGGCTCCCCGCGTCGGGTCCGCGGCCCCACGAGGCGGCGCGCGAGGGGCCCCGCCGGGCGGGACG